GCCGGGAACAAGAAGGAATTGAATGTCATTGAGGGTTTCTTGGATGCCCTGGCTTCAGCTTCAAAGGAAGACTTCATCGAGAGAGTCTCTGCTGATGCTTCGATTGCTTTGATGCTTTTGCGTGCCGACACCGCACCTGTGGCAGATGTTCGAAGATCTATCGGCATTGTGAAGGGAATGATTGAGGACAAGAACAAGGAGTGCCTTCCACTATGTTTAAGATTTGAAAAGTTAAATTCCTTTTTGGTTTGGTTGGGTATTCAATATAGTCATAGTTATAGTCATAGTTGGTTCTATTCACTTCGATTTGATTCGATTCAATCTAATTCTTTCCTATTCTAAAATTCATTTATCTATTTTCACTGTGTGTTAGTGTTAAGTTTTATTATTAAGCAGTTATTGCTTGTTTAGCTGAGCTGATAGATACAACGCTGAGGTCCTCGCATATGCTTTTGACGGCTACACTGCAATCCACCAATCTTGGAACCAAGTTGGTTGTTGACGCTAACAGCATGGTTGATGTTCGCGAGAAGGAGTTGGGTGCCCAAGAGGAGTTGAATGATGCGGTGGGCAAGCTACCGCCCATTTTGGCTTCCATCACGGAGAGCAAGTTCGACGATATGTGCTTTAGCGGAGACAAAACAGTTCAAGTTCATTTCAAAACTCAAACAGTAAGTCAGCCTGAGTAGCTCATGCAGTTCCTCTTAGCTAACCTGTGTCAGCTGCATCCAAATTCAATTCTCACAAGTTGTGGAGGTCTAAGCTACCCACCAATTCTCCACCACACAAGGTGATTTAATTTTCATTGCCCCAGTTTCTTGACTTAGGTGTTCTGCGGCAATGACGGTTGCTCGCATTCTGGCTGAAATCAAATCAGACAAGTACCGCGCCAAATCTATGGGAAAGGAGGGTTTCAACCAACTTCAGGATCGTCAGAAGACTGCTGTCCTACGCTTGGTTCTCTTTTCTGCTTTGTCTGAGGCGCGGGGTTTGAATCAGATAGGCGATAGGGCTTTGGGACCAAAATGCTAAGTAAGTTACTACGACATGAGGCACAAGTCACTTCCTATCCTTTGTCATTTCTTTCGGTTCTATTTTTTTCAGCAATGTCAACCTGAAACTTTGAACTTTAAACTTAAACAACTTAAGTAGGTTAAATTAAGGCTTAAGGCTTAAGGAGTCTTCTTCTGTCTTCTTCATTCTTCATTAAAGTGTCAGACTTCAGGTTTCAAGACTCAGCTTCAAGGCTCTGTTGATCCCTTTTGGTTGTTTTGGTCGCAAGTTGCAATCAATTGCCAAATGTGGAGGTTTCTCCGTGGATCGCTTCGGCAATGCCTGCTCTGCAAGAGACTTCCATTCTCAAAGAACCTCCAACTGATCAGTGGAAGTGGTGGAAGCTCCTCGGGAAGCTCGATTCTTTTGCCAGTTTGAAGGCCGTCATTGATCCTTTGGTGCACTTGGGAAAGCTCAGCTTTTCATTGAAGGCTGGTGCGGCAAAATCTTGCGACATGAATAAGCACTTGCAGACCCTTGCTGCTGCCACTGCAAAATGGAAGGACTGATTGCTCAAGCTCAAACACAATGTGCTAGTTTGTTGCCCAGCTGTTGCGTGCGTGTGTGCGTGCGTGTGTGTGTGTATGTGTTTGTGAATGCTTCTGGTGTCTCAAGTTTAGAGTCTAGAGTGTAGAGTCTAGAGGTTGAAGTTTACAGTTGAGGTAAGCTTAATGTCTGTCTTCGTCTTGAGTTTTGACAAAGATAAGAATGCTAGTTTACTAAAGTTTACCTCAAGCTTCACAGCTCTTCCCTGGAAGGACAAGATGTCCCCAATCTCCGATGAGTGCAATTTGGTGAACAAGGACGACATCAACATTCCGACATGGACTACACTCAATGAGCAGTTGGATAAGCTTGCAAAGACGCTCACCGCCATGTGCACCACTGTGGTACATCAAGATGCCATGGTCTTCAAGCAGAAGGTGCTAGACATCTTTGCAGGCTATGTGAAGAACAAGACCGTTGCAGATGTGAGCTCACATGCTAGCCAGCTAGAACTACATGCAGCGGCGTTGGACAATGCGAATCCAGAGCGTGAGGGGTTGTTACAGTTGGCGAAGTTGACTGGTCTATTGATGAATGGAGGCTGGATGTTTAAAGATTTTTAAGGTTTAGAGTTTAGAGTTTCAAAGGTTACTGTTGAAACCGCCTAAGGCAACAATTGAATCATTTACTGACTGTCATTTACTGTCTCTTCTTCGTTCAGAATAGAACTCTATTTGAAAATTTCAATCATAGAGTACCAAACCAAAAAACATAGAGCAAAAAGGGTCGGTCAGACTCATATTTGACTTCCCCTTGGCACATGCAGGCGAGGCATTCACATTAGGGCAAAAGCATGCCCCACAGTTCCAACAGCACGATGTGTTGATGAAGTTGATTTCCGCGACCGTACCTCTGTCTGAGTATCAAGAGGACCAGTTCAGTGCCATCGAAGCCATTTGCCAGAAAGAGAAGCTTGACATCACGACAAAGGTGATTTCTGATACCATCGGAACACTGGCCGCAGAGATCGACGCAATGGTTGCTGAGTGGGCCGCTCACACAGCTCCTTTGCCCTGTTTTGTTTATCAAACGCTTTGTCTTACCTACAGCTGCTCATTTTGTTCATGTTCAAACTTAACCTGAATTTTCAGTTGACAAATCATCAGGTTTAAAAAGCAGGTACAGCAAAGCAAACCAAACGACACATTCTGTTTTGATTTTGGTCACTTTTGTGTTTGCTATGATGTCTTGACGCCAAAGGACCGACAGCTGCTTTCCGACTTGTCAGCAGTGGATGCAATGAACTTGCCAGATCCTTCGTCCATTAGCTTTGAAGATAGTGATGTCGGCGCACCAGCCCCGCCGATCAGCCAGTTTGCCGACTTGAAGGATATTGATGCGGCTACTCTTTCTGCTTTCACTGTGAAGATCCAAGATGCCACCTCCAAGTTTCAGGCTCGGTGAAGTAGTTTATTTTTTTTATTCAATTCATAATTCATAAATGGGGCCTTTTCTCCAATTTTTCTTAGCTTTGCATTAGTCTTCTTTGCAAGCTGCCACCAGAACCCTGACTAACTATCTTGTAACTGCTAGTAGCCGCAACCTGAATTCATACCTTGCTTTTGTGTGCTGCAGCGTTCTTCCAGAATAACCCTGCCAGGAGCTTGTGGATGCGAAATTTGACATCGAGAAGCATACCAAAGGGTTCTCAAAGGGTTTGGCAGTGAAGCAGCAACTCCTCTCTATCATGGCCATTCTCACCTTGATTGGCGCTCTTGGATCGAAACGATTGAAGCGATGCGTGGAAAATGGTGACGCAATCCCAGCAAAACTCCGAGCTACCATCAAGGAAGCTATGGACACCTGTTCCGAGCTTAATTTAGTCTTGCCTGGCTCTTTGCAAGCCAAGGCCACCCATTTTTCAAAGGAGTGAGGGCAGGCAGTGGTCATGCAACGACCCTGACATATATTTGTCTTGATTCTTGGTTCTTGATAAATTGCCATATCATTACTCCTTATCATTGTACTGTACTATATTTCTATATTAATATGATTAGATATTGTAGATTATCATTAAATGATGTGATGAGTTCATCATCACTGATCTGATTGCACATCTTCTAGTTCCAAGGTGCTGGCTCGACCAGCTAGGTTGTTTTCTTAGGCTCTCAGGGATGTTCGGAGATCCACAATCTTTGCTGCCCATTCAAATTCAACTCAGTGCCGTCCATGCAAAGGATAAGCGTGGGTTGTTTGTCCTTTTCTCTTTCACTTGATATGAATGGAACAAAGTTCCATTCGTGCTGAAGGAGGTGGGGGTTTTCCAAAATCCCACCTCATTAGGAGCTCTAATGCCACGTTTAGAGCCTTAAATCAAAACCGAAGGACCCTTCAAACAATGAAGGCTTGAGGCTTACATATGGACGACGGCTGGTTGGTAGGGGGAAAGCAGGTTGCTTGCTAGCTGCTTTGCTCCTGAAGGGTGTCAAGAGAGAGAAATCTTTGTCAAAGTGAGACCACTGACTACTGCAAAAAAGGACAACTCACTGCTAATGAGCAATGATTCAAAATTCAAAACATTTCAAAACTCAAAACTCTAGCTAGTTTAGTTTCGTTAGTTTTGAAGACAATGACGACGGTGCTTGTTTGCAGTTGCTTGCTCGAGTGGCCCCATAAAAACTTGCGAGCTTTGGGTGAAAAATCCAAAGCTGGTCATGGCACCGAGAAAATGCAGTGACAAGGAGAAGGTTGAGCCAAAACGGGTTAGAGGCAAAACCAAAGTGCTTTCCCCAAAAGCTGGAAAGCAGTGCAAGGAATCGTTTTTTGGGCCTGGCCAGAAAGCGGCAAAGGCCAAAGCAAAAACAAGTGCATCATCAGCAGCTAGACAAGCAAAGCAGGAGGGAAAGGGAGTTGGCCTGGGGGCGGGCACATCGCGTTTCAAATTCAAATTTTAAGGCTCCCCGCTTTCTCTCTGAGTCATGTCTCTCGGTTTTCCCATGTTCATTCATGTTTCGGTTTCTGAAAGTTTCAGGGTCAGGGTTTCAAGTCCTAATTTGAAACGTGTAGGACAAAAAAGATGCAAGCGAATTGGAAGAAGAGGTTCCTCTCGAAGAGGCACTGGGTGCTTTGATTGCGGATGAAATGGCCAAGGGTAGCATTGCATCAAGTCTTGCGGAGTTGGAAGGCAAGAGCCAGCCAATCGACCCTGTTTCCTGTGACAGTCTTGCTGCTGTCTACCGAAATTCCGATAGTGCAACCTGGAGTGATGAGCTTGAGGTTGTGATTTCAGAGATGGGCGGTGAGCAGCATGCATCCTTGGTTGAGAATGCCAAAGGCCACCCAAAGTTCAAGGACTTTTTGCTAGTATTTCTTGCTCAGCCTGGAATTGATCGTCACTCGATTCTTCTGAGTGCCAGTTTGGCGAGTGTCAAGAGACACAGGCCGAGGACCTTTTCGAATTTATGAAGTGGCTGGTTGCAAATGGAGAAGAACATGATGCATCAGCCTCCTCAGCGCCTACTACTTCAGAAGAGAAGGGCGGGAATGAAGGAATTGAGAAGACTGAGCTCAAGGGCAAGGTTGAAGAGATTCCGCTCGCGAACCTTGTGTCGGTATTCAATGATCACATGATGTACATCAACAAGGCCATTGACCCAGAAGACGATACAACAGAATCGCCAGAGTTTAAAGCCTGGCTCCCCAAGTACCAAGCCTACCTTCAAAAAGTGGAGGCATATCTTCGCAGTGTCTCAGAGGTATACCCGACGTTGTTTCAAGACTTCAGAAACTACATGCTGAACGAGATTGGCGTGGACCCAGACATTTGGGCCTTTGGAGACCCTGTTGAGTCGGAATTGGACAGTGATCTTCGTGATTGGCGAAACTTCCTCTCCTCATCGACATCAATGGCATCTACCTTGACGATCGAGGTTGGCCGGATGATGAAGATTGCCCAGGGCCACCCCATCTTTGATGATGGCTTTGTCGGCATATTTAAAACGACCCAGAAAGAGCCCAACACAGAGACGGATAATTTGATCTTGTTTGAGGATTGGGTCGGCAGCTTGTCAGGCCCCATTGGCTTTGACGAATTCAAGAGCTTGCACCACAAGTTCCCCTTGCCTCCATGCGATGGTGCACCGGACATCAACGATTTGTTGGAGTCGGCGGCTGAGGTGGGTGGTTGATAACTATGTTCTTTAGAAAGTCTGATCTAGATGACTCGACTAGAATCTAGAATCTAGAATAAGAATCTGGCTTGGTGGGGGAGGGGAGTTGCCCAACCCTGCAGTTGATGATTCGCAAGGCAGAGGCAATGGTGGGCGTTGACATCAGTGCTGCCTTACGGTCTCTGCCCAGAAAGATTTACATGGGGGATCTCTTCTCTGGAACCGGGAGTTGTACTTTGGTGTCAAAGACTTTGTTCGGCCAGTTGAAGAAGCTCTATCCAGAAGAATGCGAGGGCATGGAAGCTACTTGAGTGAGATTTGAGTTGACTTTGATTCTGTTTCCGCCTTCGAACAATGTTTGTTTTCTCGGCCAAGCTAAACGTCTTGCTCTCACTGTTTCCTGCACTTTTCCTACAGTCTTGCAGGTGGTTCACGAGTTCATGTGCGAAAAAGAGCCATACAAACGCCGTTTCCTAGAAGAGGCTTTTCCAGATGAGGACTGCTGCATTTTCAAAGATGCAACAGAGCTCTACACTGACAAAAGGGCTTGTGCTCGCCATGACAAAGGAGGAGGCTGTCAATGTGACTCTTGGTTTCAGTTCCAGTTTCGATTATTGAATTACCATTACCATTGACCATGTTTATTAAGTCAGTTTAAGTTGTATAACTAGTTGTAAGTTTTTATCGTATCATATTATTGTATGTATTATATCAATCAATTGTCAATCGTTAAGTTTATTGAACAAATTCTCTATACTTTACTCAACTCTTTTCTTTGCCTCACTTTCTCATAACAATTTCAGAGCTTAATGACGATGACGCTGACGGTGAATGATGACAATGATGATGGTGATGATGATGATGATGATGATGATGATGATGATGACTATGATGATGATGATGATGATGATGATGACGGTGATGATGATGGTGATGATGATAAATTGCTTGGTTGCTTGGTTGCTTGCTTGCTTGCCTGGCTGGTTGATTGATGATTGGTTGGTTGGTTGGTTGGTTGGTTCGTTCGTTCGTTCGTTCGTTGATTGATTGATTGATTGATTGGTTGGTTGGTTGATTGGTTGATTGATTGATTGATTGACTGATTCTTTTTTTACTGATTGAGTGGACTGATTGGATTGATTTGGTTGCTTGATTCACTGAGTATCTCAAATCTCAACATTTATTTATTCTTGACTATTTGATTGTTCGAGTGGTTGTTGATGATGATGGTGATGGTGGTGGTGATGATGATGATGGTGAATGGTGAATGATGATGATGATGGTGGTGGCGGTGGTGGTGGAGGTGATGATGATGATCATGTTGATGATGATGATGATGATGATGACGATTCGATTTGTTTTGCATTCGCTATAGGTCACTAGATTGATGACCGATAGCCATACAAAATAAGCAACCTACTTCTTTTGAGCAATTCCCGATTGTCATGTTCTTAGGAAATTCCGGATGAGCTCCTGATCCTCACAGCAGGATTCTCTTGCAAGTCGTTCTCAAAGATGAATCCAGAGTATAGCAACCTTTTGGACGCAATCCGAACAGACAACAAGGACTGTGTTGTGTCTTGAAATCCAAGGCATCATTCACTATTTACCTAGACGACCTATATATTATGTACATTTGGTTGATTCGAGAGAGGTGACTGAAAGTCACGAGAAGCTTTACCTGACATGTATGGTTTTGGATGTGTTGAATTTTCAAACTCCGCAGGACAGTTCTTCGGCCCAGACTTTCAATGGTACGTGTAAGGTGCTGGATGAGACTGAAGTTCAAGCCTTCATCTTAGAGAATGTGGACCTCAACGATGACGATGACTCCAACCTTGACAATATCCTCAAGGCCTTGTCGCAGATCGGGGGTGGCTTTCGTGTCCGTGCCTTTAAACTGTACAGTACAGACTTCGGTATCCGCAGCGTCGCTGCCGACTTTTCTTCATCGGCTTCTCCGAGAAGTCACAGGGAGAAGCGTCCATGGCGAAAGTTGAGCAGATGTTGCGAGGTTTTCGTCTCAAAAGGCAAACACCCGATACTTGTCAAACTGGGGGGGGGGGCAAAGGTCAACTTTCAAAAATTTCAAAAAGAGTTTCAGTGGAGGTGTGATATGTGAGCCATGTAGAGCGATTGTTGACTTGATTCGTCTCTTTTTCTCTCTTCCTCTCTCATTCGGACTCTTACAGCTTTACTTTTCTATCTTCTTTACACCAGCTGAAGGACGCATTCATGCTACCTGCCAACCATCCGGCAGTGGTTGCTGAATGTGAGCGGCGGGCTGATGTCAAGCTTGCCCGTGAATGCCCTGACGAAGATGATGATGGTCAATCCCCCAAGCGTCGTAAGAGACAGACCGAAAAGGAACCCCATGACTCCTTGGTCGAAAAGGAGACTGTCAAGTGGAAGTCACTTCACATTGAAATGGCTGAGAAGAGACACAAGGCTGAATCGACTGAACTGAGCTTCACTGAAGTAAGAAAGAAAGTTAAAGAAAGTATTTTTTGTGAAAACCCGACGACGACAAACGACAATTGAATTCAATTGACGATCCGTTTTCCCCTGCACATTGTAAAACAGGCATGGTGACATGGACTGGCAGAAATATATAGCTTGATATTTGATATGATATATGATATGCACACTGATATTTGATAATACTAGGTGAAGTTGATATCACTACTTAGATCCGACTGACTTAGACTTAGGCTGACTTATTGACACGTGTGCTTGTCCGCTAAGGAGGTATTTCGTGGCCACTTGTCGTCACTCCAGAATACTCTGAGTGTGCCTGGTTTCAGACTTTGTCTTCGCGAGAGAAAGAGGTAACTTGGTTGGCTCAAGTTTGATTTTGGCCATTGTCTTGTCACGTCATTGCAGTCCATTGGAGTGATTGCTTGCTTAGTGACGGTAATTGGCTAGGGCAGCGAACAGAACAGCTCAGAACTCAGAACAACCTTTTCAATTTTCAACTGACAACTGAGAATGTTCTCTTCCTTGAGAATGAGCGCATGACACAGCAGCAAAGTGGAAAGCAACCAATTCGATTTGGCGATATCTACCAAAGTGCATCGCGCACACCAACCAGCACAGCAGATGAACTTTGGTGTCAAAGGGAGGGGTGGCAAATTCAGATTCAGATTCGCAAAGGGCTTATCACAGCTGCACTGTTGGAAGTTGGAAATCAAATCAAAGAAATTAATCTAGCCTAAGAGTCTAGTCTAATCTAATCTAATCTAATCAACTTGACTTAGCTGATCCACTCCACAAATAAACTTTGTAAAAGCTTCAAAGAACTGAGAAAGTGGAGACCTGAGAGCCTAAGGAAATTCCGACATGCTTGCCATCTTCGAAGCTTTTTGACTTGCAGGAGAAACGCCTCTTGCTCGGCCACTCGACATTCAAATTTCAAAGGCATTTGGGCCATGCAACGGGTGCCAGCAATAAAAGCAGCATTGTACCTGTAAAGTAAAAAACTGAAATTAAAGTAAATAACGTTTTTCAATTTGGATGTGTGCTTTGTACCGTACCGGGAACCCTTCACAGGCAACATGCATCCACTTGAAGTCCTTGCAGAAATGTGTGATCAGATCATATCAGATCTAAGGTCGCGAGCTGATGCACATGCAGGGGTTGCAGTTCCCTGAGAAGACCTTGCAATCGTTCACAAATGCTCAGTTGACAGACTTGAGCGGAAATGCGTTTCTTGACTAGCCTTGATTTTTTTTGACGCACTGAGACTTTGTTTTTCAGTTTGATCTTATCAGATTCACAGCAGGCACATGCACCAAACTTTATTCAGTTGATTTCACTTGAGGTTCAGCGGGCCTGTGTACCAAGCTGTCCTTTTGAGTACAATTTTACAGCTGCACTTTCCAACCGATTCCGAAATGGAAGAGGAACAAAGTTTGCTGCAGATGGCATCCAATCTGCAGAAACATCGCAAATCATGAGCACAGCTCGTGACGCGCAAAGTCTTTTTTTGACTTGGCAGTTTTTCACCCATGCATGAGCATCAAAATCCAGCAGAAACAGAGAGAGAGACCGAATCGCACAGGGGAAAAAATGCAATGTGACCACTTGCAGTCAGTCTGAGGCTGTCATCCGACATTATGGTTTGTCGAAGTCGATTAGAGGTACTATGGCTGTCCCTGCACAAAAATCTTGGGAAAATGCCAAAGTGCAACAAGTCAGATGCTGCAGCTTGCGCCAGGGCAAGCCTCACTTATTTTGTTTTTGCATTTTTACTTGACATCAAGGCATGTTTTGCCACCCCAAACACACAGACGCGTCACGAAGCCAGGTAGCTGGCAGCTGCCATGAGTGAAGTGTATAGGTATTAGTCTTAGTATATATAATATAGTAAATGTAATAGTAAGTTTGCACAAGGAAGTAAAAAAAGTAATCAAGTATACCATAGTATGTAGCATATAGTATATATTGTATCGCATTTAATTTGCCAAGAATAATTCATAGATCTTCATTCTCATTGAACATATCAACTAATTTTTAAACTGTTTAATTTAAGTTTTATTGTGCGATTTATGGGTTTATTAGTTGATATTTTTCTTACATCAGCGACATCGTTCATACCACATGGCCTCCCTGCCGTGCGCCTGTACCACCTAGTTTCCTTTCACCGTGCGCAAGTACCCCCTATTGTACCTGTGTGCCCCCGTCCAGTCCATCAGCTGTACCTAGTGCACCCCTCCACTGTACCCATCGCCCCCTTCCTACTATACCCACCGCACCCCTCCACTGTACCCATCGCCCCCTTCCACTGTATCCACCGCACCCCTCCACCGTACCCATCGCACCCCTCCACTGTACCCACCGCACCCCTCCACTGTACCCACCGCACCCCTCCACTGTACCCACCGCACCCCTCCACTGTACCCACCGCACCCCTCCACTGTACCCACTGCACCCCTTGCACCGTACCACCGCACCAGCCGCACCGTACCCCTGTACCATGCGCACCGTACCCACGTACCAGATGGCTCTAAGAGCATATGTTTTGAATTTAGATAAATATATATAGAGTACACACTAGGTCATAGATATACAGTATGCAATAGTTAGTATACACATCACCAATATTTTAATAACTGGGGTTGGCCAGCTAGATACAGTATGGGGTGCAGATATGGGGTGTTTGACCCTCAATGACTCAAACTACATTAAACATGGGGATATCAACCAGTAACAATAATGGAATATGATGAGAATATGTATAGTCAATGTCCATAAAACATATGATTTAAACGCTTTTATGGGTATAGAATAGGATCTTTGGGATAACCCACAAGCTGGGGTACTTCAGGTTTGCCCGGAAATGGGGAATTTTGCTCGATTCAATTGCTGATAAACATCTGGATTTTGGGGAAAACCTGTTTTTAAGCGAAAGCATCTGTCGGAGAGTCACCTCCTCACCAAATAGAGCCTTATATATATATATATAGTGTATAAAAGGGATTATAAATATGGCACCCGTGTACCCCTGTTGTTTTTTCTTGGAGCCCCTGGCGCCCCTTCCCTTTCCTTTGCAGGCTGTGGAGCTCCTGCGGCACGCCTTGAAAGAATACGAGGGCTCGCTGGGTAACGACCATCCCCAGACCTTGAACTGTGCAGGGCAGCCCAGGGGCCTGAGAATCATGGGGAAACTCAAGATCTCATGGTGAGAACCTGTTGAACACCTGATTTTTGCCGGCAATGGCTATGATTTATCATATTTGCATCCTTCAATCTGGTTGCTTGAAAATTATGGGAACACATCAAAATCCAATGGATTTAAACTCAGCATTTTCCTCATGAAAACTGCCAAGAATTGGGAAAAAATCAGGAGTCAAACACATGCAACTGGCCATTGGTGGTGACTACCCTCCAATCCTATAGCACAAAACGAGGTTTGAAGTCCTGGTGGAACTGCGCTGGGGCATGGGGTACAAATCCACTCGCAACTGTGTCACGGGCATCTTTTTCCCCCTATGTTTGTCAGTCCATATTCCAATATGCCACTCAAGTCTGATACCTACCTAAGGTCTATGTAAGGCAATCGCAACCCAAAATTGAATACCCAAAATGATGCATAATACAGCATCTGTTTTGTAAAACAGACATGTTTTTTTTTTTGGTTTTCCCCTTTGTTGAAAGGAATCTCATCGACCCAACGACAGGCGCGGAATTTGGCCGTGCTGCTGAAGCAAAGTTTGCCGGCCACCGGCAGCACGGCCGGCACGGCCGCGCGGCTCAGGGAAGCCGAGGCGCTGCCGGCGCTGCTGCGTGACCAGGGCCCACTGTGGTCCTCGTCCACCACGTCGTTTACTGTTCCATTTACTCATAAAAACTAATCATTCTTGTGAATCTCTGAATCACTCCATTGATTTTTTTTCCAGGTTTAGGTGGTTTCGGTGGTTTCTTAGGATTTATCTCTCGAATCTCGTGGTGTATTTTCAGGCGTTGCTCAAGCGAGCAGCTTCCGGCTACGCAAAAGTCCTGGGTGCTGAGCACCCGGAGACGGAACGATTTCGAAGGCAGGGAGGGCCAGGAGGCAGGTTCGGGAATGAACATCCATAAACAAAACAGCTTTGGGCTTCACCGGAGTACCAGAGGTGTTGACCATAACCAATATATATATATATAGATATGTTCATAGCCATGCCGAATTCGACGAAGCATAGTCTCCAGGCCTCTCAGATTGCAAACAAAGGTGGTTCTTGCCTAAATATAGTCGATGTGTAACCACTATTTTTTAAATAGTCGAGGACTCCCAGGGTATATATATATATGTATATATATATAGATATGTATATACATATATGTTTATATATATATATATATGTATATATATATATATGTATATATATATATATGTATATATATATATATATTATATGTCTATGTCTGTCTACGTCTATGTCTATGCCATGAATCTGGAACACAATTTGGACCATATTCTTGCAATATTGGACCCATGGCATGGAGATTTACGCATTTCAAGGAGTTTGGGTCTTAGGGGACATACACATTTGCACTGTGTGAGCAACTCCAAGCAACTGACCAATTCAGTAGCTAGCAAATAACCATCCCCAGTATTCTTTCACAACTGATAGCTTGCTCTTCAAGCGAAGATTTGGCAGGACACCTATTCTGTAAATTTTCACCAATCCCCCGAGGACATGACATTTTCCGATCCAAAGATCAGCGTCAAGATCTGGAGGGCATGGGTCAAGTTCCCTATGACATACCTCGAATTTTCCATGGAATTTGGAGGTTATTCAGATATTCACATCTATAAACCACAGCTATTTGGAAAACTTGTGTTTTCACAGGGGATGATCCATGGCTTCTGACCCATCGCCTGGCTTTCACCAGGAATTTGGTGAATTTTCGCAAGTGGCGTCGGCGCGTCTGGGCCTCTCTTTCTTAACCTTTGCTCAAGCTTGGAAGGGAAATTACGGGACTCTGGGAAAAACCATAGACGTAGCATGACACAGCTATGAGTGCATGAGTTTCACGGATTTTCCATGATTTTCCATTGTCAGCTCGGATTGCCAGTTTTCTTTTGGACTCTCAGTGTCTATTTCACCCTAGTGGGACTTCTGCTTACATGACTTCCATGACTTCCCATTGCGGGAGTGGTATGGGATTCGTTCGGAACGGGTTCTGATCCTGCCTGGAGAGCCGCTGGCATTCAGACCTCAACGTAAACACCAGATGGTTTTGTCCAAAAGTGGGAAACACGCAGACACACCCACATCATTCTTGGTATTTATTAAGTACGTCTTGCAGCCATAGGAGGCAGCAAGAAACGTGCTGCTGGTCTTTCTTAGCAAAGTTTCTTTGAAGTAGGGTGTGTATTCCATTGGATTCCCATATTATTTAATCAAGAGAAAGCTGCCATCCAGCTATTCCCGAAGTTGGTTCAAGAAAAAACATAAAGAATTACCTATGTCTGAGGTTAGATACTATGGTTTCTTATAAAACAAACACTTCTCCGGCTCGCCGGAAGCCATGGTTCTGGCAAAACATGCAGCGTTGCGTTGGGGCTCCCAGCTTCTTTTCCAGGTGCGTGTTCTTTTTCGGTTCAGATTCCGCCGTTTTCCAGGTGATGCTTTGGCCGCTTTCTATGGCAATCAGGCCTGGCCGTGCAGCCGACATCCCAGGTGGCCATAACTGGTTGGGTTCATCCCTCATTTTCGGGTCCACAACCAACAACAATTATATGCATTATATTATTATATATATATGCATTGTATTAAAGTTATATCCATGAATCCCAGCCCCATAATATTCACCTATAAACCCTAGTATTGGAATGTGCTGGATCTACAACCTTCCAACGGTGGCAGGGTCGGCGACGCTGCGGTCAGGTTGGAACTTGGTGGCCCATGCCCAGCGAGCTGACCTACCTGCCTCGCCTAAGGTGCTTGGGAAGCAGGGTGGGTGGGGAGGATGTTCATCTTGTTTACTTATGTGCAAATGGGTAGTCTTCACTTTGTCGCGCTTGTATTGTACAAGCACTACACTTGTATATATATATATGTGATATACGTAAGATCCATATGGTGTGTATATATATATATACATACATATTCTACATTATACTACAAGTTACACATACGTATACATGGATGCGTCATACCACTTCTTGCAAAAAACGACCAGCAGCCGTGAAGTGTGATTCCTGCAAGCTCAAACTGCACACCTTGAACAATTCTACGCCAAGTTCAACAAGACTTGGACTAGACTACAGTGCTTTAATTTGGATGTTTGAAGCGGCTGGTGCAAGTCTGAGGCGAGGAGGTGGCTCATCGTTTCTCTTCGTAGGCGGATGGGGTGCCTTTTTCTATGTTGGGATGATCCCTTAATGGTCCGACATGGTCAGTGCGGGATAGTGCGGGGGCTATCCCATAGAATCTCCGTGAAAACAATTGGCAAATTACAACTGAGCTGCTAGCCTTTCCAGATCAACTTGAAAGTTGGGTATTTTCCCAACTTTCAACCGCTTTCAAGTCCTGAACAATACAGACTTTGCTGTGGCTCACCACGTCCCAGGCAGCCTCTGTGCGCGCAAGCGCAACCGTGCTAGAAAGAAACCTTGCAAAAAAAAAATGTCCAAAGGAAACCTGAAGCAGTGCAAAATGGCTAGCCAAATGAAGCCTAGCCCAATTCGCAGGTCCTACAACTTGGCTGATTTGCGGGTTGAGATTACAAGTGGATGACTATAAATTATTGTACCTATGGCTGTTTTCTTTTGGGTTGGATATCCTCCCATTGGTTGACCTGTGCCAGGGGACAAGTCTGATGATGCAGCTCCGGAGAATGTTCCCGATGAGGGAGCACTGCAGGAGAAGGAGGAGGCAGAGGCAAGGCCCCTTGACTTAGATGGGCTTCGCATTTTATACTTGGGATCTCCGATTCTCTGATGTGCAATGTGCATCCCAGCTTGCAAAAATAACGGGCAGGACAATGGACCAGGAAAATTGCCAGTGGCCAAGGGGATATCTCTCCAATGATTGGGTGGCTTAAGCATCAACTACAGGGTGTTCCGGTGAATCTTTGACGGTGGTTTGCCAAGCAGGTGCCACGGCGGTTTCGACGAAGATTGGTTTGTCCGTTTTTTGGGGGCCAGAAAGCAAGAAGAAGATCGTCGATCATCAGTTTCCCCATCAAATGACAATGATATTCCCTCATTTCTATCTTGGCTATCCCTTGGTGTAGAGACAAGAAGACATGGGACGTTGTCGCTGCTCAGATCAGTGGTTCCCATGTATATTATTAATAAAACGTATATAAACTTTGTTCATCAAGGTGTATGTCACCTTTCCTGCGCACAATTGTTTGGCGTTTTGCCCAGAGTTTCACATCAGACGATCTGTTCTGTAGCCATCGAAAAGAATTCTGGCAAGTGAAGCTTGGTTTAAGTGCAAGGTGAGACCACCTCAGTTATAAGTTGGTTTATACATCCATTAATTTATTATACGTAGATATATTACCACAAACCATAGTTAACCTAGTCCTAAACCAATTTAGCCATCGTTTGGGGGCCTTGCCTTGTGAGTATCTACACGGAATCTCCCATGTTTTGGGGAACGGGGACAGGAGTTCGCCTTGGACGAGTTTCCGAAGACCTGTCGCATGGCATCTGGGCATCCGTTCATCGAGTTTTGGACGATCATCCGTTTTATGCTACTATAATAAGTTATTCCTAAGTTACTAAGTTACTAACACTAATAATGGACCATAATAACTTAGTTTTCATCGAAGTAGCCAGCCAAGGATAGGCAGTGAGTGAAGTCAACGGAATTTGTGAAACTGTCCAGCCGTTTTTTCGAGTTGAATCCTGGACATTGTGGCAAGCCGTTTTAAGTAACAACATGTAGCAACCAGCCGTTTGATGAAAAATATCGGGTGGTTTTTCCCCAACAAAATGATGACATTCCAATTCCAAATGGTGCTATCCCAGCTCATGGGGCTGATGTGAGACACCAGGGCACAGATTCACCAGGGACCTACCCGAGAATGATGGCAATGGCAATGGAAAATTCCGAGTCAATGGAGGTTGATGTTGGTTCACAACTATCACTGGGAAAATAATCCCTCAATGGAGGTTAATATTGGTTAACTGGTAAAATCATCGAATTAACATGAAAATTAACATGACAATTAAAATGAACATTAAGATGAATTCAAATCATCGAATTGGAGGATTTCAAGATATTTCCACCATTGCCTGGTGAAAATCGAGGAATTGAAACCTGGTGAGGGCAGGGCCTGCGAATCCCCGGAGGTGTATTTGGGATGTGGATGGATGTGGGATATGTGGGATGTGAAGGCTACTCTAATCATGTTTCTGTTTATGTAAGGAAAATGAATGATTTTTGATATAAATAAATAATATATATATATATAATACTTTACGCATTTGAATGATTTTTTGCAAATAAAACACGAAGAAATCTAATTTCCTTTTTTTTTTTGCAGGGTATCTCAATTCATTCAATGCGATCTGGTTGTCCTTAAGGAGGCGGTACGCGGCGACAGGTCGAAGGATGCATGGACAGCTGCCGAATTCAGTACCTGAGACCTCGAGCGGTGCAGAAACCGTTGCCAGAGGAAGAGAGGAAGGTATGTTGCTCGGATGCGACGCGGATGTCAGGTCTGTTTCAACTTTAGCGTGCTTTTGGCTTATTTTTGCTGGTAGTATTGGCTGGTAATAGAAAGGCATGATTTAAGTCCTTCTAGTTGTTGTTTGAGCTAGGTGCTGGAATAGATACTTGTGATTCTTCATGTCGAAGATGACCATGTTTTGATGCTGCAATATGATGCATACGGAATTTAAGTCATAGGTTTTTGAAACAGCTACCTCTTCCTTGAGTCAGCTACCTTTCCTCTGATCAATCTCTCCCCTCAGTTTCGTCTTGTTTAAGTCAACTTGGAGCTATCTATCTATCTATCTATCTATCTATCTCTCTATCTCTCTCTCTCTCTCTGTGACTCTCTCTGACACTCTCTCTCTCTCTCTCTTTCCTCAGCCATCTTTTCTTTGAGTTACGCCTATGAGCCACTTCATCTCAGGTTACAATGCTTGCATCGACCATTGCGTCATGGGTCGGACACAGGATGTGGGAACCAGTTTCGGTTGCTGGGAACTTCCAAAACATCATCATAGCATAATAAGATACAAGAAGATCTAACCAGATATAATACGACACAATAAGATCTAACAAGATCTAATAATATCTAATAATATCTAATGAAAACTAATAAGATAGAATTAACATCTAATTAGATATAATAAAATACAATAAAGCATGATAAGATTTAAGATATAGCATTATATAACATCTAACAATTGTTAGCAATATATAATATACAATAAGATATAATAAGATGTAATATGTGCTAATCAAACAAAAACTGCGGTGTTTGTTGTCCACCTTTCAATCCCATGAGGCTTCCGTATGTGTCCAGTGTTTCTTGAAGCTGGGGAACACCAAAGGAAGAATGGAGATGATGATTGGATTGGATTGAAGTTGGATTGGAATCGTCCCAGAATTGGAAGATCATAATCCCCCATTTTTTTTGGGGATATAATAGTTTAATACCAAGATGACATGTTGGAAATCGATCTTTGATGATTAGATTGACAGTTCTGGTCGAGAAGCCGCAGGATGGATTTGCTCGTCCTCAATGTCCACTCGTGTGGCTTGGCTGAAGACCTATTTTTTTGGTTGGCTGAATCCCCATGCAGCCATGCCAACTGTAACTGTCACAGTTTCCCTGGGGCTTTTGGGATGACTCCGGGATGTCCAAAAAAGCAGCTGTGGACGACTGAGGAACGGCTACAGCGAAAGGTTCCGAACTCAGGGAGCTGACATGTTGACATTGCTTGACATAGGCATGCTGGCGATAGTTTTCTGGTTCCTTCACAAGAATGAACAGAGAGTTGAATTTTGGCTGGACATCTTTGCCTAATTTTGGGGTGTTTCGGGACTCGAGCCGTGAACCTGTAAGCCCTGTTGGGACCTACAGATCTGCTAGTCGTCCAGATGAAAACCTGAATAGATGGTCCATGCCCAGATGAGCAGTTTCAACAAAATTGATGTTTTCGGGTGTTTTCCCCCTCTTTGTATATTGGGAACTATATGGGACTATGATACTCCATGAACTGGGATTCCCCTTCAAGCAGCCATTGTTTTCTTTGGAGATTTTCCAATAGGTTCAACTGACACTTCTCAGATGTTTCCAAGGTATTCTGTTTGGGAGAGTCTCTTGGCACAGAATACGCTGGTTTGGGCGCTGGTTTCGACCTTGTTTCATTCGAGATGTTTCATTAGGGTGTGGGTCAAGACCCAGTGCAATCCCCGTCTGATACAACGGGGATATATGATGATATATGGGGATATGAATAACGTGGATATAATGGGAAAATTATATATACACGTACACACACACATATATATATATACGTACATATTTCTACAAAATTTAAACCAACACTATGACAATTGGGTGTGTCTGAAAATGGATGATACTCGCAAAGTCGCATATTTCAAAACGGATAATTTTTTGTTGGATTTTGGGGTACAGATCGAAGTTGACCCGTCCTTGCAGGGGATCTCAATCAAGATGGGCAATGTGACATGGGGATTTTTGCATCTTTCTTGACAATAGCAACAGCAATGTTTCTGTTGATTTCTGTTGACATGAAGCCTCAAGCGCTTAAAGAAAAATTGATTTAAGATATTTGAGGCTACTGAGTCACTGTGCGATTTTTCAGGATTTTTTACATGTACATTTCCATATGGTTTTTGAATGATTCCTCTGATTCCTCGATGCCAACGTTGGTGAAAGTTCAGTGTTTCCTTCAACGTTCATCCCACGGGCCCGCGTGAGATACGGGCCAACGTTGAAGGGATCAAAGTTATAGACATGATGAAAAACAACATGGATATAAGATGTGTGTTGATATTCAATGATATTTCTTAAACATAAACCTAAACATCAAATGTGTTTGATCATCTTTGATATGTTAAGTTTAAAAAAAACAAAGTGATTATATTAATGTTGTCTCAATGCGTTTACCCCCTGGCCCAACATGGCAGTGGATTTTCTCCCATTGACTTCGGTGGTTTTCCAGCTACCAGAGGATTACTAGCTGAAAAAACCCTATCAGAAGCCCCAGTCTCGATGGAAGTTTGGGGAAGATCTGACCGCAGGTTACGAGAAGCTGGACCCTGGGAAAGAGCTGGCCAAAGCTGCAGGTGGATGGGTCAAATGGTCAAGTCATTGGATGCGGTATAGAAAAATATCTGATAGATATACAATGATATACATATATCATATAATTTATTATCAGCAAGGTATGAAAATTACAGTCCTGTTTAATCAAGTTTAATCAAGACAGCAAGGTGCAAACTACGGCCTTAAATCCGGTGATGGATCATCATGTACCCTACTTGAACTCTGTGATGCAAGTCAGGTCATTCCTAGTACGAGCTGTTCCAATTTTTATTGTACCCAACGACTTGACCAATGAAAGACATGTTTTTCCATATTTTTTCATGTTTCTTCCAGTATTCTCATCCCTAAACATGGGATGCTCCAAGTTGACTTTCGCACCTTTGGAATCCGTTTGTGGCCCACCGTTATCACAGGCCCAAGCGCCTCGTTTCTCGCTCCGCCAAGCTCCAAAGCCGAGCCGATTCCGGGCACTGCGAGCAGTTTGGCGGGGAATGAACTCACTGGAGGGGAGGTGGGTCTTCGGGATATTTTGATGGGGTTATACTTAGGTTAGTTAACAAAATCAGGATTGGGTTATACTTAAGTTCTGATTGGGTCATCCTACCGTACCAGCAGCTGTTTTATTTCAAGCAGGTCATGTTCAGATGGCTAGTGCAACCATTGCAAGCGGCTTGGGACCTTTGGACTTCAATCGCTCGCAGCTTTGAATGGTTCCAATCTTTCAACTCCTACTAGGGACGGGAATATTCCAGTCCGCTGATTCATAATTCTGAGATGGGTTGCAGCAATCAAAACAGGGTTTGGCTATCCAAACCTGGGTACCTGCCCACCAAATGACCATGCCGTGGTACGACGGACAGCTACAGCCAACAGCACTCTTGAAGATATGTCGATGGGGTGCAAACTCAACAAACTTGCGATCAAAGATCCCAGGAATCAGAAGCGGAACTAGCCCAAGTAAAATTCCCTTGGACTGGGGAAGCTACGATCATCAGTGTTGCTCAGCAGTTTGCGATATGAACTATTGGTCACCAATGGATATCATTACTTACGTACCAATGATTGTTATCCATCGTTATCCCATGTTGACTGCTGGTTTTTCCTACATCTTTTTGGCTGGTCGGCTCATCACTAGGGCACTAGGGATTGCCTCAAACCTTGTATCCTCCAGAGTTTCTCCAAGGCCCTCAAGAGGAGCGCAGCAGGGGGGAGGGCGAGTTTTTCGAGTATCAATGGATTGCTCTAAGTATGTCTGTATGAAGTATGTATGATGTCCTCTTTGATCCTCCAAATGCTAAGGGCTTCCCAGGTTTCCTGTAGATTCTTGAATAAAATCCTGGGTACCAATGATGGCATTTATCTGCCCACATTCTGTCACATTGCAGGCAGGTTGGCTCACATATTTACAGGTTTCATGCCTTTTTGACACCGGCGTGTCGGCAGGATTTGGGACCTCTTGATCCTCATGGCAATCCCTTCAAACAGAACAAGGTGAGACGGCCCTGTGATCCTGGACACTCAATCCAGTGTGACGACTCGGTGAAGCGACCGTGACGTGACCGATGGATGGAACATCCCCGAAGGAAATGGAGGTTTGAATGGAAAGCCATCTATAAATGGTGGATGTTCAAGCGGCCACGTTTGATTATTCGGAGGGTAAAACATCGAATGATCTATAGACATCTATAGACTGACACTGATTTTGGTCATTTTTCTACAGTATTACTGTAAGTATCTGTCAGTATCACACCATTTTGCTTGCCATGGGATGGTCATGCACCCATTGATCCCATGGAACTTGAACCATGGCACATACTGTACATATATATATATACACTATATATTATATATATATATATTTATTTATTTATTTATTTATTTATAATTCACACATCGGATTCTTCCCCATTTTCCGGGTAAGATGAGGAATCTCATGGGATTTTCCACATTTTTGCAAGATAAATCACCGTTGTTGGATGCTGTTGGTGCTATTTTCCGCCAGGTCTGTGGCCATGTGTTGGCACCTGGGGAAGCTTGGCAGCAGTGGGCGACTGGATATAAAACCAACATATTGTAAACCAACCATCATGGGCAATCGATGTGTATAGGTATGTCATGTCATGTCATGGTCAGGTCAGATCATGTCAGGTCATGTTATGTCAAGTTATGTCTGTATATATATATATATTATATATATATATGTATTATGTATATGTATATAATTGTATATATATATATACAAATCACCAACTAACATTACATACCTATGTGTAGTATATACATTGCCTCATCGCTACCTACGTACTCCTTACACTACCTACACATGTTTCACAGCGTGCCTATATATGACTCATTGCATAGCGTGCCCATATATATACATATATATATATATGTATATATATATGTATATATATATATATATGTATATATATATGTATATATATATATATGTATATATATATGTATATATGTATATATATATACACGCACTATATAATATACTATATCCATAATTACATATTCTCTGTAAACCCCCTCAAACCTCTCCATGTACTGTACATGTATGTGGAGGTGTGGTGATCCCTGCTGCTATATATATATATATATTATATATATGCACTATGTATGTATATGTATGTATGCATATATATATATATATAAATAAATAGTTGTATGACCGCAATGCATTGACCTACTTAAAAGAACCAGAAGGAAGTGTATAGAAAACCAAACTCAATAGAAAAGTCATCTTCATTTTTAACTTTGATTTCAGGGAGAGTAACAATGTTTTGTCGGCTAGAAGACATAGGTCCCACCATCTGCCAACCGTTGGTCCACAGGCTAGGTCTCGCAGAAATAACCTCTACTCAGTGCCAACTCTTGGTGAAAGTCCTTATTTACTGTTGCCTTAAGCGCCTTAAGCCTGTTTGTTGGCGATCCTAAAATGTTGCCATTCCTGGGTCATCCAGTCATCGCCAGGAACAACGCTGCTGCGAGAAAAGCACCGTGGAAGCGTGCCATGAATGCTGCATCTTGCCACAATGGCTCTGTCAACCATGTGCGTTGTTGCGTTTCCATGGTGCGTGAATCTGCGCCCCAGATTTGGCTGGAAGATAACCTCCCCATTCGTGTTTGCGGCAGTCCCAAGAATTCGTGAGGGAGAATCTGACATTATGATACGTTATGATAAATTATGAGCTATTGGAGGTCTTACCCAGTCTTACCCCTTACCAACCATTTTTTGGCGCACCTGACTAGACTTCACCGTTTCCACGTCTTGTGGCACCCGCAGGTGTGCAAAGAAACTTCGATGGGATACAAGGAGAGCCCAGCAGCGACACTTGCAGAAGAACTTGTGTCAGGATGTGCTACAAAGGCACGGGGATGGGGAGGTTGGTGCATTTGGGCAAGTACTCAAAGTATATGGTGGAACGTGTTACCCACTACCTTTTTTTAAGCTGTTGGGTCCTCCAAGCAGAGGTCGCATGCCGAAGTGAAATGGCCGGCTCGGCTCTTTGAGTCTGGGGATTTGACCCAGTGATACACCTATGGACATTTGAGATTGAAAACAATTATATGATTTATATGTATATACATATGTATATATATAATATAATATATAATTATATATATATATGTATACAAGGTGTAACAAACCATTTGAAAACATCTGAAAAACAGATGAAAAAAACAACGGCCGTGCTCTGCTAAGCAGAAATGCTGCCACAAGACAACTTGAACACGTCCGCAGAACATTTACTCGTGCAAGTGCAGGGTTGATTTTACGCAAGGTTATCCCAGGCGACAAGTATGGACAAATCGTTGGCAGAAAGTGAGATGGGTATGTCTGAAAGTGGAGGATACCCCAAAATGGATCAAAATGGCAATTTAATAGGGGAAATGAGGAGAAACTCCTGGATTGGGGGATAACCTATTTTCAGACCACCCAGATCGTTCATACCGAAAATGGACAAACATGAGATATTCCGATATTCCTGTGTAGATGCAGGGAATATCCCCGCAAGACAGGGCCTACATGTCGCGGCGCCTCCATTTTTGGCTGAAGAAACCATCGAATTGTGAGATACAAAAATGGTTGCTCAATGTACAGCAAAGCCGCAAAATATCCAAGAACATAGGGGTTCTGATCTGAATAGCTGGGTTATGATTTCAAACACCTTTCCTTTCCACACCGCCTCTGATGATGACCCCAATTGACTGAGTTTTTTTTTGGGTTGAACTCTCAAAGTTGACATAGAGTCATAGTCAGCTCCGGACAAACAAAGGTTTTTGGGGCTTTCTCACCTTGGGCTCCCCAGATTTTAAGGGATCTTCAACACCACCATGACCGACCATGACGATCCCATGTGGATGACTGGTTTCAGGGTCTGAAAGGTCTGAAAGGTCGACCCATCCCATCCTCCAGGCAAAGATGGTGACAAAGCTGGGAAACATCTGCCCAGATGCCCGGACAATGCGGAGGCCAAGGTGAGTTTGTATCCGACCAATGAGCAGGAGCGATGACCGGGATATGTTACTTTTGGGATGACGTGTGTTTTTGGTGACATACCATACTGTACCTGGAGTTTTCCTTGGTTTAGAATGTTTGTCGTTGGAATTTGCAGTTTTCTCACTTTCTTGTTTTGTTATTTATTGTTACTGTGATTTACTATCATTGACTATCATTACTATCACTATTATTATTATTAATTTTATAACAAGGATAAGACGTTTATTATCATTATTATTATTTTTATTATTATCATAATTATACATTATCACTGCTATTATTGTGATTCTTGTGATTATTATTATTACTTATTATTACCATTATTATTTTTAATTACTACTTTTATTACTACATACTTCGTTTGTGTTCTCGAAACATTCTGTTTTCATTAGCATCGCGATTAGGGTAACTCATGAAAGATGACACGCACACATTCAATTTGGAAAATTGAACAGATGACCCAAATAACTTTTTGTGAGGATGTCACGTTTGCTTGGCAATCAACGCTGTTTCGAATAGAAACCGAATCATCTCGAAAGCTGCTTATCTAATGTGTATACATATATATATGTGATGATATATGTGATGATATATGAAATTATATGAACAGATGTCGTTGAAGAAACAACACCACCTCATTACCAGCATTTTTGTCATTTTTGCTCACTGTTCACTGGTGTAGCGTTGGAAGCCGCGGAGTTCCCACAGGATTCGAAGCTCAAGGACTACGTGCAGCTGGAAGGATGAAGCGTCGTCCCTGCATATTTTGGCTGGCTCGTTGCTGGACCTAGGCTAGGATTTATCATTGGAATCATGCAATCATATGAGTTCCAAAACCACGGCTGATGACCCATAAGGGTTTACACTTCTCATTTTTGTCGGGGAAGCCTTCGTCACCTATGTTCACTTGTTTTGAAGCCGGAAAGGCATCGTTTTGCAGCAGATTGAGTCTGTGCCATTTTAGAGACGTTTCGTTGATCAATTTCTATGTTGAACAGTGATCCTCTGCCAGGGAGAATGTTTCCGAAACTGCCCATCATCTCAAAGTCCGATTCCAGTGACCTGCCAGCAGTCTTGTGACAGAGATGAATAAGGCTAGATGTGCACGGGAATCAGCGGCTTTACACGTAGCTGGCTTGTTGTACCAACATGTACCCTCTGGTAAATTAACATAGACCTTGAAAATAGCCTAGTTTTAATGGAAACTAATCTTCCAACCCCTATCTGCCAGGGTCTATGTTAATTTACCAGAGGGTATCAACTGGACCTTTCCTGCACTCGGCTCCGAGGTGCGTGTTGCTTTGCGCAAAGTGAGTGGTGCAGCGAGAGGGGAAAAAAAGGTGTCAGAGTGACAGCACTGTATGGAAGGGTGCACGGAGAATCCCTGATGGCAACTGGGAACGTCATACCATCCCATTGTGGGTGTGCGTCCTAGTTGAAGTTCTTTACAATCGCGGCCAGCACTCCTGGGGCTACCCCGCAACTGGGATGAACCGGGTCACAATCATGATTCCAATCCCTATCCATTTTTGGGCAACCTGCAGTGGTGGGTATCTCAAAGCCCAACGGACATATCAGAATGGCTGGGTTTCGGGTTGTCTCAAAATTTGCGTCCTATTTTTTCCCAATGTTTTGATTGTGGTAGGAATTGGGATAGGCCCCACGGCTTGAGGCTAGTGAAGATCCCAAGCCAAGAACAAAATCCGTCTTGGTCATTGAGTCAGTATGATTAGTAGGCTTGTGAACCTACCTGGTTTCATGGGGAACCATTTATTTACCCTCTGGTAATTTAACATAGCTATGGAAAATCACCATTTTTCATGGGAAAATCTACTATTTCTATGGCCATTTTCAATAGCTATTTTGACATAACCAGAGGGTATAATCTATGGTCTATGGATACCAACCAGATTGATGGGGGCTATCCTTCTGAATCTCCGGACTTGATGGAAGATGAAGCCCTCTGAGCCAAGGTCCATCCCGAGCTCTGAAAAGAGTGCAGCTGTGCCAGCTGTGCCAGCCGGATGTGAGAGATGTTGGGGCGTTGAACCACTGATATCCAACAAATGATGGGTTTCATAGGGATATGACCATCGTTTTCCTACAGTTTTCATTTTTTCTTTTCTAAGATGGCCAGGTTTGACTGCCACGGGGTAGTGATCTCCCACTCGCAGATTTGGATGATTTGGGGACCTGCGATGGGTTACATTACATGGTCTTCTCCAGTGACACTTGCCTGAGAAAGGTGTCCACTTTGTTGGTTTCATGGCTAATATGGTTCGCTAGCATATACCATCTGGTTATTTAACATAGCCATGGAAAATCCACCCATTTTTAAGCACGGTAAACCATGGTAAACCATCTATTTCTATGGGCCATCTATACCATGGCTCCTCCATGATCCTGGAATCCACGGTCATCGTCGCCTTGAAGATTTGGATTGGTTTAAGGGAACATCTACAGGAAAAACCATGGTTTTTACCATTAAATATGGGGGTTTGCTGTAAATTTTCCCTGAAACCGTTCTTTGAAATATCTTCAATTGTGATCTTCTTGGGTCTTGAAGTATCTTGAAGTCTTCCTGACTTGCGCAGGACAAAGATGATGAAAAGGATCTTAAGGTCCGTGCTCTGGTCCAGAGTGTGCAGGCTGGTCCAAAGGATGGGATAGGTGCCAGGGCTGCCAGGGTCTCTACCAGCTTCTCTGGCTTGGTCGAAGGTTACAAGTCGGGAAACCATGGTTTCTTACCGGGTTCCTTGTAGGATTTTCCATCAACCAATGCTGATAATGCTGCAAAGGTTGGCTCTCGTCCTGAGACCTTTCCCCATGTGAGGACCAAGTACAGTGTCATAAAGCAGCAAGTGCTTATGACGATGACCACTTTGACATCCGGTTGGACATGTTCCAGACTTGGTCCGAAAAGGAAACAGTTATCCTCCCTGTTCTTGGTGACAAAAAGACACCTGTCCAGTTTCCTTGCACCCACATTCTGTTGTTTTGATTCACAAACAGCATCACTCTGTTGAATTCCCGAAGTTTGGTTGGTAAAAGCTCAATTTCCTGTACGATTAAAAACCACATGTTTCTAGGGTTCTAGGGAAAGCCATGCCACAGGGGTCAATTTGGAAGGATGCGCCAGCAGAAAATACCTAACTGTCGGTTGTCGTTCTCATCATAGGAAGTACCGCTGGGACACAAACAAACTAATCATTGTCAATTATTTATATATTTGGTGGTGTTCCAAGAAATAATTGTAAACACTTATCCAATGAGTTACGGCCATCAGTTATAAGCACTGGGTGAAAGCAAGCTCTGCAATTCCTATGCGAAGCCGGGCCAGGAGAAGATGGCTGAGCTGGTCTCGAAGAACTCTCCGGAGCGATAACGTGGAAGCTGCAGGGTCATCCCCGACATTCGGTTGATAAATCTGGTGTACGACCATTCGTTAACATTCTCTAAAGTGGATGTCCGCCGGGTTTTGATCCGTTCCCAATTGATGATATTGTAAAGCAACAAAATAAAGCCGCCTGAAGTTTATGAATGAAGATTGTAAAGGGATGGAACGTATTACGAACAACAAACATATATGGGACAATCTGGGATTTTATGTGCGCTTCAAGATCGAATTTCAAGTCAGAACCATCCAATTCTGCCTGATTTTCGGATGTGATGTGAACAGCAGGCTACCCCACGGAGTTTGAGACTATCCCACGTGGTGACATGATCAAGAATAGCTATGGACATGCGGAGATGTTAATGAGGGGTCAACCCCAAAAAAGCCATCGCTATTCAAGTGGACCCTGCCACTTAAATCATTGATCTAGGGCCGATGGAGGATATCTCACAATCTCGAAAAATCCAAATCACACCAGGAAGAAACCGGTGTGCGGGATTCGCGCGCAGGGTTTTTAGCGTTTCTCTAAAGCTTTCTTTTTCTGCAAGCGTTTATGGTCATTACGTACTCTGACCTGGCTGGAAATCAGAGATCGAGATGGCCCAGTTTTTCATAGGAACCTCATCTGCAACTGTTGCAGGAGAACCCGATCTTCAGGCGAGACGTGTACTGAACTGCAGCAAAAAGGTGGATGGAGAAGCCCAAAGTTCCTAGGTCCAAAGAATTCCTGAGACCAGAAGCTGAAATTCAGCATGTCAACAACTCAACTCAAAACTTCCTAACAAAGTTACAGCAAGTTTAGATCCGCTTCCAAACCTTTGTTTTCGAGGCTTTCGGGAGTGAAATTTCTGAATAACCAGCAGGACCCGGCGACAGCAACTGCAGTTTCCAATCACCGCCACCTTGCTCACCAGTGTCACTTAGCTGGCAGCTAATGGTTGGTAGTAAGGGGCTTGGTGGTTTGAACCCCTTGAATTTGAAATACTGTACTGTACGATCTGTACGTATATCTATGTATACACACATGTATCATACATGAATACACACACATATATTATATTAATTATATTATATTATAATATATTATATTATATATTAATTATATTATATTATATATTAATTATATTATATTATATATTATTATATTATTATATTATTATATTATTATATTATTATATTATTATATTATTATATTATTATATTATTATATTATTATATTATATTATATTATATTATATTATATTATATTGTATTATATGATATTTTATTATATTATATTATATAATATTATATCATATAATATAATATAATATAATATAATAGAATATAATATAATATTACATTATATTATATCATATTATATTATATTATATCATATTATATTACATCATATTATATCATATCATCTCATATAATATTATATTATATTATGTTCTATTATATGATAATATATTATATTTAATTACATTATATTATATTATATTACATTATATTATATTGATTGTATTGTATTATATTCTATTATACTATATTATATATACGTCCATACAATTATACACCAATATTCAGAATCCCAGATCTCGGCTAGAAAGCACATATACTGTATACCTTTGAAACAATCAACCAGAAGCTCAATGGGAATTCCAGGATCCTAAAATGGAGGTACTGTACCATATTTTTGGCCATATTTTCTTGGGATATTCCCTTCCTAATCGCCCTTACATATGCTTATATATGGTAGGTACAGGATGGTGCCCCCCAGTTATAAGTTGGTTTATAAGCCCCATTAACTAGAGTTATATCTACCATAAACCATAGTTATGGGAGTTATAAACCAACTTAGCTAACTATGGGGCACCACCTTGTACCTCCAATTTAGATTCCTGAGATGGCCAGTGAGAAGCTGCTAAGTTGGGCCAAGTCTGAGAGGCCTCCCGCGGGCTGTTCGGTCACTGTGAGAAATCTCGCCTGCTGAGTTCGTTGGGGCTGCCTTGATGCCTCTGACCATAGAGGACATGGGATTTCCGGGGGCTCCCACTAGGATAACATACCCTCTGGTAATGACTAACATAGCTATTGAAAATGGTGATTTATAGTGGATTTTCCCATTGAAAATGGTGATTTTCCATAGCTATGTTAGTTTACCAGAGGGTACCACTCACTATTTCCTAAATCTCATCCCAAGTGCTTGGTACCAAGGAATTGGACCCATTTTCTCCTAATCCTTGGTGGTTTTTGGGACAATTTGGACCCAGAACTTGGTGCAGGAGCGGCAACAAATCTTGGAGACCGTTGGGCTTAAGCAGCGCCTGGAGTTGGTGTTGGACACTGGGGATGTTGGTTTTTTTTGGCAGAAAAAGATACCCTCTGGTCTGGTTATTTGACATAGCCATGGAAAATGATCCATTTATAGATGGTTTACCTATTAAAAATGGTGACTTTCTATAGCTATGTTAGTCATAACCAGATTCATAGGGGACCGATGAGGTCATGTTTGGTCTTGCCAGCGGGTTTTGCAACCGGGTCGTGCTGCTCTGGGAATATTTTGAAGCGCAAGAACCACCTCTTTTTTGCGTATCAAAAATGAGGCCATCCTATTGTGAATTGGTTGGCATCTCCATTTTTTAAAGGTATAGTGTGTGTGTGTGTATTATATATATATATATATGGTACCCCCCCAAAACCGACGTTTTTGAGGTCGCAACGCTTTTGGGACAAATTACCCTGTTCAGTTTGAGTTCCAGTGGGGGGTACCATATAATATATATATACATATATTTATATATACACGTGTGTATTAATTGTTGTCTTACTGTCGAACCCAGGTATTTAGAGCAATTTTGTCACCAGAAGCGTTTGCAAACGTTTGCAAACGAGTCCAGGGGCCCAAGTACTTAGACTGGCTCAGGATTCAAGATTCAAGATTCAAGATTCAAAAAAACTTC